CTGGGCGGGCGGCGCGGACGGGCCTGGGCGGGCGGCGCGGACGGGCCTGGGCGGGCGGCGCGGACGGGTCTCGCCACAGGAACCTTTTCCGGCGGCCGCAGGAGCACTTCCCGCCTTTTTTCCTGCCGCAGTGCCCGACGGGAGCCGCCGAGAAGGGCCTGCCGGGAGCTGTAGTCTCTCCGCCCCGCCCTGCGAGGGCGGGCCCTGGCGTAGCTAAATATTGATCCTGTAATAAAATAGTTTAAATAGTTTACTGCCGGGCCGATCATGTTAGTTGGCTAATTCGTAGTAAAGCAAGAGGTAGTTACAAGGCCGGACCGGCATCTGTAACTCAGGGTTCTTTTAAAGCGCGTAGGTGAGGGCTGGCTCCAGATCAGATTTGAATTCTGAGCATGGCTGCAGGGCTGCGCCTCAGATGGAGGCAGATGCTCAACAGAGCCTCGATGTAAAGCCTCGAGCCTGCCGTCAACTTGTAAAGCAAAGATACGGCTTTGATACTAATCAATGCACCTGGAATCCAGGGCCGTGCACTGTCAAATCTGGCTAGGAAACACCCACCTAGTGGATCATGGGGAAGAACAACAAAAAGTCTCTCCTGCCAGAGGAGTCAGAAAACAGGAAAGCAAAGCCCCGAGGCTCACGCTTCAGGGCACGGCTTAAGCCCAGCTCCCAACACAGGCTCTGTAGAAGCCGCAACTCAGTGTCCCTCCCCAGATAAACCACACGGGAAACCTGGCTATGGAGAAAGAAAGAGCTACACAGAAACATCCAGGAGGCGCCGGGAGCAGCACAACACCCCTTTTCGTTAGCTCTTTGCTTGGTGAGAGGGCAATACATCACTTTCTGTGGTCACTCTCACCCAGGTCCACGTAGAGAAGGGCTGAAGAGGGCACAGCATTTGCAGGTCCTCCCAATAGAGGAGCTTGGTGGGATTACTTCTGCCACCTACAACCGAGGAAGCTCCTGTACGTCCCATCCCTGCTCCTTTTTAAGTTGAAGAGCTCTGAGTTACTCTTCCCCGGGCAGCTGGGCAGGGTGAGGGGATTTAAGTCAAAATTAAATATTAATGTTGAAAAATATCTTTTAACAGTGCAACTAGTATTTTACCTGAATGTTAAACTCACAAGCAGATATAAAACCCACAGAAAATATAACTTGTGTTGCTTATCTTCTTTTTGGTCAAAGTCAAGCTTGAAATAAGTTTTATCATCCACCAAAACAGAAGTTTTTCCAGCTCTGTTCAAGAGCTTACCTAATGTTAAAATGCATGAAATGATTCATGCTTTCATATGCTAGTAGTGTTTTTAATTATTTGTTTTAAAATAGGAAAGACACGTTGCCAGAAATTTTTCAATAGGAGACTGAGCTATTTCTTCCTGTCCTTGTAAATGCCCTGTAGCCACAACGAAATTCACAGAAAAGTTGTGTGAAAAGCCAGATGACTCTCTCCCCCTTGTTTAAAAGTGAATGTCTTATAAAACCAAGGCCATATAAAGCAATGTAAAAACAACGTTCTGAAATGTCCCTACCCTTCTGTGCGAAGAACTAAATGGGGACTATAATTTTTTTATTTTTGTTATTTTTATGAGGATCTGCTGAGTCCTTGCTACCAAGGCTTGCTTAGCTGGAAGCAGATTACACAGCTGGATACAGCAGTCGCATTCTGTGGTTGCTTTCAGAGAGACCAGAAGAGGAAAAATAAACAAACATGACACTTTAGGAGTTTCTATGTATGAGGGCATACAGAAAGACAAACAAAAACATATTCTCAACAAGGGAGAGCTTTAATTTCTTTTTTAAATGGCATCTTTCTAAAGAGTAGGATGGCAAGAAGAATGCTAGCTTTTAATAGATGTTCCATGCCAACACAGTGACACATAGGGCTGCCCTCACAGCTGTTTTGAAATTATCCTCTTGGAAACTCAAAACCAGGAGATGTATTGATTAAAATACTCAGTCTTTGGAGGAGAAAAGATTCCCAGGAGCTTATCCATCTCTTGCAGATGTTGCTGTTTCTAGGAGTAATAACTGCATTAAACAGGTGTAAGAGTTCTTCTTAAAAAAAACCCCAAAACTAACAAAACTAACACCAACAACAAAAATACCAAACTAAGAACAAAAACACAGCCAACCACAACAAACATCCAACCAACCAAAACAAGGAAACAACAACAACAAAAATCCAACCAAAAAAAACCAAACAACAAAACCAAACCTGAATGGCAAGTGTAAGTCTGAAATGTTCAGCAGGATTATTAGTGGGCCAAATTAAAATGCTGCATTCAGGCATCCAGGGGTCCAGGGAAACACACCAAAACTTCATTCTATATTGGCTTTGGTCAAAACCCTCTGAGACTACCAGACAAGTTTACCAATGCAAGGAAGAAAAACTATGTAGTAAAATTTCCAGCTGACAGGCAACCCACAATTATTTACAAGTAATTGCTTAAATTCAATTTCACTCTAAAAAGAAGTTTCATCTGCTAGCTTTCAATAATTATATTCAATTATAATCACTTTCTCTTCATTTCTTCTATTAAAAAAATAAAATCTGTTGTTGGGCCTTCTTTTTCTTGTTAGGTCCATTTGGTACAAAATTAATGCCTGCACTCAGGCACTTTCATTTCAAATTTAGGAATACTAAGTAAGTGGGGGAAAGGAGATTCAGATATATATAGAGAGAATTTGCTCGGTGGTAATATGCTTGTATGACTAGGATTCCTGAAAAAGTAGCATTTTGGGATATGTCAAGGTTTTTGCACTGATTACCATTAAATATCATTATCAGAATATGCAATAATGGATGATTACTTATGGAAATCACATTAGTGTATTGATTGAAGTGCTGAAATTGAATCTTTTTGGAGAGTAACACTGTATCCCTTCAAGACAGATTTCAAAAGTTGGAGACACCGGGAGGATGTAAGGAACTGTGTAAGCCACAGGGTGTCAGGGTTGGAGCTGCAAAAATTCTTCTTCCGTAAAAACAGAATGGTTTGTTGCTCCTCCGAAATGCAGAGAAAAAGGGTAGAGGGGGCTGCTGGACCAAGAAAAACAATGTCAGTGGCTTCTCAGTGCAAGATATAACCAAATTTTTGAATTCCCTACTGACTCTTTGGGTGGAAGTATGAAGACATAAATCCCTCCAAACAAGAGGATGTGACAATCATAATAGATAAATCAAACACACACCCAGAAAGATGATAAAATGGGGAGACATGCCTGTGTGGTTCCACCCCTCCCCAAGAAATTCCTCTATTCTTTTATGTTGATTTATCCTAGAAATACAGTGAGGAAAAAATTTTTGAGATTGGATTAGTCTGGCAAGAATGGTGCTGGAAATTAAATAATGACAAAAACCCATTGTCTGTGTGGTATATGATCTTTTTTTAAGTATGTATTTCATTAAAAATATGTTGCTTCTGCTAAAACAGGGGTTCTTAGATCATTATTTGCAGAAGTCCCATTACCACTTAGAAATTTTAGGCTGGAAAAGTTACACTTTTCTAATTGCATATTTTGGGGTTTTTTTTCAGATTTCTCAGGTCACCACATGAACTGTGACATAGTTTCTCAAATGTTGCTATAGCCTATGAACATTATCAGCCTCAGAAAGCTCTTATTTTGGCCCTGTAAAAGGTAGGAGACAATTTTGCTGCTTTTCTCAAAGATCCTGTAAAAAACATTTTTCATAAGCAAGCCTCTTTTACCACTATGTAAACTCCCCTGATTTCTTTCTTTGCCTTGTAGTCAGAATCATGATTTTGCTACAGGGTAAGAACATGCCTTCACTCTGCAGCCAGCCGCAGCCTTTGGGCTGCTTCTGGGACAGAGGAAACACAGTCCTTGCAAGCATGGTTAAGTTTCAAGCTTTCTTCCACTATTAGAAACTATGTTTTGTTATTGCTTTGATTTTATAGTGCTTAAATACTCCAGCAACTGAAAGCTGTTTTAGGGTTGTATGGCTGTTTCTCTGCCAAAGCTGTAGATTGGAAGAATGTGGAGTAAAAAAATCAGGAAAGAAGAACTGCTGTGTATCCTAGCATTGAAGGCATACACTTTTTGCTGCTCTGTATCAACGTAATCAATCATATTATCTTGAATCAGACTGCAGCTGGAGAAATTCACTGCTGGAGAGTTGTCAAACTGAGGAGACCTGTGACCTGCACTAACGCTCTCTTGCCTAGGAGCAGCTTAGAGATCACAGAGACTGGGCCTTGTAGCTTCACACTCCATCAGTTGTGTGTGAATATCACTGTGATACTCTACGCCTTCTGTATGGGTCTGAATAACAGCTGTGTGCCTTAGGTGTGCAGCTCAGTCGAATTAGCTTAATTTAGGTGCCACTGAGAATTTCCTGGCGAGGTGCAGGAGCACCCTAAAAGCAGAGAGGCAGTAGGGGTCAGTAGCACAGCGCTTACAGATGAGACAAAAATAATGTGGTGATCTGAGGAATGTGTGGAGGGAGATGGAGTGCAACAGAGGCCTGGTAGAGGCAGCTCTCGCTTGTTGTTTAGAGGGAAGCTCTTTATTCCAGAGCCATCACTTTGAGAATAAAAGCCTGTCTGCTAATGTGATTAGTTACCTCTTCAGGATAAAAGTAGAGCCAGTAATAGTCTACCAGGTGAATTGAAATCTCTTGTGTCCATATATGTTTTTGTAATGAGAAAAGTTTGTTCTCATCATGCATTTGGAAATAAAATGAAGTAATAAGAGTAACCACAACAAAACTGGGGAAGACTACAGGACTATCCAAGAAGCAGCTGTACCCTGCCCATTTTCTTTGCATGTCTTTTCGTCATTCACTCCAGATAAACTGCAGTAGCTAATACAGCTCTTGTGTTCAATGAGGTATACAAAAGCAGCAGTGATGAAAGGAACATCTTTAAATAGGCTAATATTTTGAATATTAGAAATGTACACAAATTTAAATTAGAAGGATTTGGCCATTGAGTGTATATCATATCACTGTATGCTTTCTGAGTGCAAGAAAGAGTAAGAACAGAGGAAGTGACTTCCCTTTTTTAAAGTCTGATGTGAAGATGCTTAATGCAGCTGTTTCTTTTTTTATCTGCCATATAATTATCATGCTTTAAAAATACTGATTTCTTCAGAACAGTACTTAGAAGTGTTCTGTACAGGGAAGCCTATCTGCAGCCAGCTTTTTCTCTCTTAGCTTTCCCCATCACACATAGTGCACAAGTATTCATCATTTCACCTCCTTCTCTGCAGTAAGCACAGAGGACATTGGTGTCATCACCCTTATCTAGACAAAAAAATCCGTCATCTGTATTGTGCACAAGGGCAGCTCATCTGTTACTGCACAGCAAGTCAGTTCATAAAAGTAAAAAATAAGAGCAGGAGAAGCATGGAGCCATTGATATTGGTGAGGCACCAGCTTGCTTATTTGGTGTGTGTTGTATTAATTCATGTTGTGAAATTTCAGACAGTGGATTGCTTGTGGGACAAACAGCAAAGGAGAGAGGGGGCAGCAATGGATGTTTAGGATATTAGTATCCCTGCAGGTGGAAGAAGATAACTGTCCCTTCCATGTGTCTCTAGGAAATGGCCGGTCACCACCAGTTTACCACAGAATTATAGAATCAAGTTTAGGTCTACCCTCCTTCAGTTTAAGGCCTTTTCCCTTGTCATATCACTACACACCCTGCTAAAAAATCCCTTTCCAGCCTTCTTGTAAGTCCCCTTTGAGTACTGGAAGGCTGCTATATAAACCAGTTGTTTCTCAGCTTGGGTTGGGAACTTCCTCATCTTAAATAAGAAATGTACATAAGCCTCTTGCATTTACTGTGGAAGTAAAGCTCTCGCTAATAAGATCATGCAACATATCTCATCTCACCTTCAGCTTTATCAAAGCATTGCTGTTTATTACTTTTAAGGCAAATAGAACATAATTTTTCACAACACCAACCACCACAGACAAATTAATATGTTCAAATCACAACTCTTAGTAATTCATAATAAATGTCTTTTTGATTGCTGGTTTCATTGTTGGGAATGCCTTAATTCATCTCAAGCTGAAAATTGCTTAAATGACTGGATCCTCAAAATGAAAAATAAACCCAGAGTGTAGAGACTTGGCAAGGAATAAGCAACTGGAAACAAGGTATTTATAGTGAGGATTAGGCAATGTTAGTAATGTGTGATGATAACCATCTCATCTATACATTCTGGAATGTGATTTGAGAGCTTGAAGGAGAACTGCTGATTTTGGAAAGCAAACATTCAAGGAGTACAGCAAAAAGATGTTATCTCTTTAGGCTGTAATATTTCTTCCCACCTCCTCAGCACCATGCAGACTAAGAAACTTTGAAACAAACAAAAACCAAAAACTACTTGTCAAAAAATCACCCAAACCTGGATATTTTTAAGTAAGCTTTGAAAGATGTGATTTCTTTTGCTGCTGTTTTTAGGCAGCATGTATTGTTTGCTTTTTTTTTTTTCTTTTTGCATTTTGATCTTCTGTATTTCACTTTGTATTTGCTCTTCTCCATAAATGTTTGAAAGTATTTATTTTTATGGTGTTTGAAGGTACTTAATTTTAGAAGATTAGAGCTGAAATATTCACATACTTGATTGCAGGGAAAGAGGCTTCAAGAAAAGCACTGTGAAAACTGCTGGCACCAGGGTTGCCATCTAGAGCCCCAACAGGATGTGCGTAGATCGTGTTGACGATGGCTGATGCGTCTCTCAGAATAGCTGTTGTGGAGCACAGATGATTTAGTATTCACATACAGCTGTGTATTGCAGCCCATTTGTGGAAAAGCCTTCAGTATGAAATGCAGACATTTGAAAACCATAACTGTCTGTTCCCTTTTCTCTATCTTTTTCAGCCTTTTTTAACTTAACGATCTCCCCTTGGCTAAGGCGTTCTCTTACAGTGTTTGTACTCACCCAGTGGGGCCTTGTTCACAGCCTCGTGGTGCTATTGTTACATCAGCTATCGTGGCTATTTGTGATATTCACCTCTGGGCATAAAGACACCTGGTTTTGAACAGGATTAATGGGATATATTTTTAACAGGCAGACAAAGAGAAGTGCAGTCTATCCAGTGGGTTATTCACTTTAAGCTCCAAATGCAGTATAGAGGTTCTGCCAACAGACTTAAGAATTTAGGCTTAGGTATTTCGAGTGCTAAGACCATTGGCAGCAGTCATTCATACTTGGCACCTTGAAAGGATCAAGCCTGAAGGGTAAGGAAAGCTTACTGTTGGTGCCATCAAAAAGTCAGCATTCAAGGAACAGGTTGGGGCAGATTCCCAAACCAATGTGTGCATGAATCTGTGACTGCCTGTAGCTGTCATGACACCTTGTCACACTCAAACATGTAGGAAATTATTTGCAAACCATGAAGGAATAGTCAAAGACAAAGAAATTAATTCTCAACTACATTTGAAATGACAGCTGGTTGTCAGGTGAATTTTATTAGTAAGGGATGAATACACAATGGAAAACACTATCAGAAAAAAAAATCTAATTTCTTTTAGTTTAAGGACTATGAACATTGGTCAGTGTAATCCCATGCCAGCTTTTCTCTCCCCCATTCAATGAGTTCCTTGTGTGAAGATGAGCTGCAGATTATTCTCCTATAAAATATGTTTATTCTATGTCATATAGGGAATAAAGTCTCCATGATCTTATCTGTATCGTGGCTGACTGCTGAATTTATCAGTGTGAAAAGAGCTGCTCTGAGTGACTCAGCTGCAGAACTGATTTGTCTTGTCATTGGAGAACAGATTTGTATAGCTGCTGAGTCACAAAATGGCTTGCATAACTGGAAGGGTAAAACAAGTTTGTCAAGTGACTCAGGTTGTAATTTGATCCTCCTCTCATTCCCAAATGTACATGCACCTGTATTTTGAAACTGCTGGGATCGTTAATTACAGTTGGAATCATTTCAGTGGTACCCATGGAATGTCTCCTTCTGATGCACTCTGCTGTTCAGTTCTTCTCCCATAATCCCTGGCATGTGGCCAAATGCTTCTTCCTTCACACAGGGGGAAAAAATTATCTGTGTTTTCCATCACTACTAAAACCCATCACCATTATGATCATAACAGATCTTCCAGTGGAGCTTAAATAAAAAAAAAAAAGAGGACCAGTACTTTTCACCTTTTTTAAGGGACTATTGTTCCTCCATTTAAAAGATTATTTTCAATAGGAAGTTAGGTTTAGGAAATAAGGGGAATCTTTTATATGTGTGTAGAATTCCAAAACGTTGGCAAAGAAGTCATAAGCCAAAATCTTCCTGCACATGCAGGTATATTATTATGATTTGCTGTTTGTGGGAGAAAAAAATGGCCTTTTAGCGAAGAATATTTTATGCTCAGGAGGAATTAGAAAAAACCTTTGCATTGAGAGTTGTTTGTCTGATGCTCTATCAGCCAGAAAAAACAGATGCATGTAACTGTGATTTAAGAAAAAGCTATCCTTACATCTAGAGAGAAAAGAAAACAAAACACTGAGGGCAGTCATCTACTTTATGGATGTCACTGTTTCCTTTAGAAAACATATTAGAAAGTGCAGTAGCCTTTCTTCTGAGATCTGTATAGTATCCTACAAGCACTAATTCTTGATGGCCATACTAAGAAAGGAAAATATTGTCCTAATCAAATAGATGA